TTTATTTTTGCATCAAGCTTTTGCTCTTTAGCTTCACGAAGATGTTTAACTAAAACTTTTTGCTTCTGTCTATCCTCGAAGCTACTGTCATGCGATATGGATATGCCACTGTTTTTGAGTTTACCAACTAAGCTATAAATGTAACGCTTTTTTAAGTTAGACACAAACTCTAAGATAACTGGCGCCGAATTGGAGGCTTTATTAATAAAAACGTTGTTTATATCTCCCTCTGAAATCTTGGTCCCTAACAACGAATTTAATTTAGTAAGAGTTACTTTTAGTACATCTGAATTGTCTGCTAGTTTCAATCCCCAAACAGCTATATTATTTCGTCGAGATTTCCTATCAAGAGACAATACTTTATTCTCCAATTTGGTGATTTTGGACTGATGCTCAGCCACCGTACTTACAACCCCATCAATTTTTTGCCTCAGCTCTTGTTTAATCTCCTGAGTTTGCTCAATATTAGCGGCCTTTAACAGATCTAAGAGCTCTTTTGTTGAGAGATCCTTAACTTGTTTGTTATCACTCATGTTAGTAAGTACAGTGGCTTAGGAAAAATTAAAAAAAAATCAAAAACGGCAGTTATATTTACGATCATACGAAAATAGTGCGGAAGAGTCGGCAACACCGATCGAGTTTCCGTTAAAAATTTGACCTGATTTTAAAACAGTAGTTCTTTCTCCTGGTAAACATGTTTCACACAGTCCCAGAATGTCTAATTTGATATATTCAAGTGGTTCTTCTAGTAAAGTGAGGTTTTCCATCGTAATCAAACGCATGTCGGGGAAGTTAGCAACACATTCGAAGCAGTATCGCTCCAAAATCTTCCTGCTTGCATTGCTATGCTCCTGCCTCAAGTGTGTATGTTGGTAATTTAGACAAAAAGAGCTGTTTTCGATATGTATGCTAGTCTTAGCGTGGAGGTATTTTAAACGAAAAGATCTTATCCAAGAATTCAATTGAAACTAACACGTCCTCTTTATAATCTTCAAGAAAAAAAGAAAAATAAACACCATACGGAAGCGCAGGTAGGCCACCTATCCCAGGACGGGTTAGTTTCAATTTAATTCTTGGATTAGCTCTTTTCATCTACAATACCAAGACACACAGGCTCGCATTCATTACAAAGGAACGGGTTAGTTTGGATTAGCTCTTTTCGTCTAAAACACCAACATATAGAGACAAGTACTCATTACGATATATTTGGCAGCGGTGTCTCGAGCTCTCCCTATTCCTACGTTTTGACTCTTGAAATGCTACCACTATGTATCTCAAAAATATTAGGTGTTGCTGGGGTGAAAACTGAAGCAGAATGAGGCAGGATCATAGCAACACAAGCAGGAACATGTTTGAGCGATCCTGCTTCTAATGTGTTACCAAGTCAAGGGTGAAGTTATGAACCATAATGAAAATCCCTGTATCTCGAAAATAGTAAGTGTTGCCGGGGTGTGATTTAAAGCAGGATGAGGCTGGACCATAGCAACACAAGCAGGAACATGTTTGAGAGATCCTGCTTCCAGTGTGTTGCCAAGGGTGAAGTTAGCAACCAAAATAAAAATCGTTATTTCCCGAAAATAGCAAGTGTTGCCAGGGTCAGATTTGAAACAGGATGATGCAGGACCATAGCAACACCAGCAGGAACCTGTTTCAGCGATCCTGCTTCCAATGTGTTGCCAAGGGTGAAGTTAGCAACCAAAATGGAAATCGATATATTTCGAAAACGGTGGGTGTTGCTGGGTTGCGGTTTGAAGCAGGATGAAGCAGGACCCTAGCAGCACAAGCAGGAACATGTTTTAGCGAGCTTGCTTCGAATGTGTTGCTAACTTCCCCGACATCTCAAACGCATATGCAGGGTGTTATCACCCCTATTATCTCGAAAATTGAAAAATTTTCGATAAAATCCCTGAAACACGTCAACTATAATTTGAAGAGGGATGAATTTTTATGCAAAATTGACCTTCCGCCTTTGAACCCCCCAGCCCTCAGAGCTACTCCCAAGAAAATTTTGAATGGGTAGAGAGATCAAGTGATCCATGATTGAAAATTCCAATCAAATTTTTGATCTCCGGTTAAATGCAAAGTTGGTGTCAAATGATAGTTCATGAAAATCTAAGGTAAGAATGTAAAATCGGTTATTAACCGTTTAGTTTTTACAGCCTGTCAAAGTTGCATAAAAGTCAATTTTCAACTGTCAATATTTCCAAAACAGTTGAACTCCGGTATTAAATTGTTAATGAAGAGAAAGTTAAGGAAAATTGGAGGATTGAAAATTTTGGTCATGGGTGGGATTCGAACCCGCGACTTCAGCATTGCCGGGTGCTACGCTTTAACCAAACAAGCCACCACGATCCTACAGATCTTTTTGATTTTTGTTTGGTGTTGTTAGAGGAAGTTGCGTGGTTCTCCGCTCATTACCAAACTTCTCAATCCTCCAATAGACCCACACATTTATGGCATCGGTCCTAATTCGATTAAGTTACCCTATTACTATATGTACGTTTGGACCACATGTGTTAAAACTCGGTGTATGCGATGCCCGCATAAGCAATATTGAAAGGAAATGAAGTTTTGTCAGTTACAACAACCGAAAAGCATGGAAATTGAAAATGAAGTGGAAGTTAGGGAAAATTGGAGGATAAAAAAATTTTGGTCTTGGGCGGGATTCGAACCCGCGTCTTCGGCATTGACGGTGCTACGCTCTAACCAAGCCACCACAACCCTACAGATCTTCAATTTCCACGCTTTTTGGTTATTATAACCCACAGAACTTCATTTCCTTTCAATATTGCTTATGCGGCCATCGCGTACACCGAGTTTTAACACACATGGGCGAAACCTAGATATAGTAATAGGGTAACTTATTCGAATTAGGACCGAGGCCATAAATGTGTGGGTCTATTGGAGGATTGAAAAGTTTGGGAATGAGCGAAAAACCACGCATCTTCATCTAACAACACCAAACAAAAATCGAAAAGATCTGTAGGGTCGTGGTGGCTTAGATGGTTAGAGCGTAGCACCAACAATGCTGAAGACGCAGGTTCTTCCAATTTTTCTTAACTTTCTCTTCATCATCAATTTCCACGCTTTTCGGTTTTGTAACCGAAAAAACTTCATTTCGTTCCAGGTATTAAAATTTAGTACCAAAATGTATGACATTGAAAACCCTCCAAAATGATGTATCACTTGACCCCCTTCCCATTTAAGGTTTTCTAGGGGGTGGCTCTGGGGCTAGGGGGTTGAAAGGGCGGAGGTGAATTTTGCATAGAAACTCATTCCCCTTTAAATTATAGTTGACGTGTTCCAGGTATATTCTCTAAAATTTTTCAACTCCGAGATAATAGGGGTGGTAAGTTTTAAAATGAACACCCTGTACATTATTATAATGTTTTTTTTTTTCAAAAATGTAGACTTCAAGAATGTTCTTATTTGACACATACCTACTTCAGTTACTAACCAGCTTCCAGCCCAGACCAAATCAATCTTGAAATGAACCTTGTAAGTGAAAATGGATGGCAGTACATAGAGTGATATCTCTAATAATGCATGTATTGTTGCTGAGAACCCCTACTTATTATTGTGTGCTGAAATATTGCAAGTGAAGAAAATGCATCTTAGTACCTATGGTGTTAGTTGTATAACCGGAGGTAGGTATACTGTGACTTTTGAGAGTACTTTCAAAATGAGCCCGAGAGAGACTTATAAGAAAAAAAACACAATAAAATCGCAGATCGCATCGTAATCACTCAGAAGGTCCACTAATGGTACTCAAATGCCCAATACTTATACTGTGATCATTAATAAGGAATTAAGCTTTCCAAGGCTTCGTTGCCCAAAAGGCTACTATACTATACCTACTTATATACTATACTTGAAATTCAAACAAGAAGAGTTCAAAAAAATTGGATTTCTTTTTATTGATGCAAGGCCTATTAGCGATGCCAGCGATGGTGACCTGTCCTACTACATTATTCGCATTGAGTCTCGAATTTTGCAATTCCCTCGAAAATACTCGAGTTCTTACAGCACCAAGGACACCACCATCTGTTGCAAGATCCTATCCGTACCGATAGTGTCTCGATATCTCTTTTATATTATTCATAGTCTCATAACGGAATACGTCTTTCCGTGGAAAACCTAGACATTTCACGAAACGCCAGCATATAATGTTATTGAATTTTATATCCTACTCAACTATTAAAACCATACTTATACCTTGGTTACTATAATCATAAACAGGATCTTAACTCCCGCGCGGAAGTTAAGCATTTCATAACTCCCGCTTTTAGCTTGAATAGGTAAAACTTTGAGAAAAACTAGAAATTTTGGTTTATGGTTTATTCCTTTATAAAAATAGACAGAATACAGTGAATTCAGTAGGAATACAGTGAATTCAGTAGGATATAAAATTATCTATGTACCACGGGAATTATCAGGTGGTAATACCCACGGGCAATCGGTGTTTCTCGGGCCGTTGCCCTGGGGTATTAACACCTTCATAATTCCCTTGATACATAAATAACTATTATTACGCTGTCTGCCGCCATCTAAATTTTCCTCTAATTAAGATAACACATACACATACATACTCACTGGAAGTGACATCAACTGTAGCAGTATCGCCACAGTTAGCTATTACTTAAGTCCTTCTGATTCAAGATATCATTTTTAATCACTAGAATTTACTGAATGAATCTTCATGTAGAATTAATTTAAGAAAAAAGTATATGATACTATTCAGAAAGGAATCCCAGATCTGACTTCCATCATACACCTGGGAATTTTAGGCATTGCCGCCATTGCCAATGCAATATTACTGCACACCATATTCCAGTCCCTTCTGGTTCAGCAGCTTTGCATTTTCATTTATGAGGTTTCTAATCATTATCTACTAGCTGGAGTCAAATATTCTCCATTTAAGTCAAAATCATGTAGAAGAAATGCAATTTGGTCTGAGTTGTTCCGTCTGGTTGATAATAAAAATAAAAACCAAAATATAGTACCGGGCGCACCGCCGGGGGATGTACAAGGGAAAGCGGTAAGTCCGACGACCATCAGAGTGCGGTGGGATCCGCCGCCAGCCGATCGGAGCAACGGCAACATAATTTACTACAAGCTGCATTTCGTTGAGGCCGATCGTTCCGATGGCGAGGCGACGATTAACAAAATGAACGCCACTGAGTTCGAGCTAGACGAGCTGAAACGCTGGACGACTTATCGTATCTGGGTGCTGGCTGGGACGTTGGTGGGTGATGGGTCCGCCTCCTACTCGATCACCATCCAAACGCTAGAAGATGGTACGTTTCTGAGAATAGCAACATAGCTATACTAAATAGAAACATTAGGAATTTGAAACGGATTTTGTACATTTTCATGTAATTAAAACCAAGGTCTGATTTTGAGGTCTGGATATACACAATACAAGGATAACATTCGATTCTTTTAGACACTGCTAGATTATGGAATACGACTCTTCATGCTGTGTGAGTCAATATAGAGGACACTTATCCCGTTCAACAGATGTTGATACCTACAGAGATCGAACTCTTAGATTTCGTTAGTGCAACACAACAGAAGACAAGACTGGTAGATTAAACTGGTATTCAGTTTCGTGCTAGTGTTGCAGTGACGAGAAATAACTGAACCAGTCTATAGCTAGTGACATTCATTGAAAGGAAACTCGATTTGTCCTCACTGTGTTATATAACGCAATCGCTCGTATTCCATAATCTAGTAGTGTCTGGAAGCGATACCAACAAGGTAATAGTAGCAAATTGATCTGATGGATTGGAGATGAATTCTGCCTTTGCAGCAATTATTGATACACATCATTCGTGCCAAATTCTCCCACTAAATTGTGAATTTTTTCCCCTTTCAGCGTAAACTAAAATTCGCATACAGCTTCTAAAAGAAATGAAAATCTTCTATCTGATCCAAAAATATATCTTCAAGAATTTCATTCCATTTTTGAGGACACTCGAAACCAAGAAAACTGTCATAAAAATCCTGATTCAAACTAAAATAAGTAACTGATTTGACCTTTGTGGAAGCACTCTCTTAATTTCCTGCATTCTTCAGCATTTCAAGGCATCAAACTCCAAAAACTGCTACTGCAAGTGTTTCGAATTCATTTAGGAATGAAATACTATCCAAAACAAGGATCTTGGTTTTATACATTACATGTTAATTGACCCGTGAGTCACATGATTCATAGTATTATTCGACTCATTGGACTTGTGGAAATATATTTTATGTCATAATCGAAGGACAGTTAAGAGGTCAATATTGAATGAAATTAATTTTATAAATTCTCCCAAAACTTCAAGCTTAAGAAGAGGAGAGTGAACCCTTCAAGAATTGAATCCTTTATCCTGAATAATCCCGATTTTAAAAGTCCTCTGTTTATTTTTATTATTTTAATATTTTTATCTACAAGCGTTTGGTTATGACGTTTTTACATAACTATTTTTCTAGTATTTGAGTTGTGTTATGAGACTCATAACACAACTAGTGGTGTTATAGACTAGGTTATGAATTCATAACACAACTAGTGGTGTTATGGACGAGGTAATGAGTCTATAACACAACTATTTTTGTTGAATTGTCAAATGCCAAAGGTGAACCTGTAAAGGTAAAATGAAGGTAGACAACTATTAATGAACGAAAATAATTTGAAAAATATTCTTATTTTTCGCTTTGTAGATAAAACGTTGTACATCACACGTGCGTTTGAAAATGACTATAAAACTTGTGTGATTAGAAAGACTCGGTCTACGACCTCGTCGTTCTAATCCTTCACACTCGTTATTGTAATCATGTTCATAAACGCACTTGTAATGTAAATAACTATTAAATAAATTAGTATTTTCCCAAGAAACTTTTTTTATTTTTTATGATATATTTTTTGGCATACCTATCCTTCGCGATGTGTGAATACATTTTTTTTTTGAACCATTACAGCCCGCCCTAACTGAAGAAATTTTTGATGCTGGTTTTTAATTTTTTTTCACAGGTGACTTCATCATGATACATTTTTTGATGGTGGATGAGACCGACAATTTGTTATACTTGATAATCAATATTTTTGTCTTTTTTCTGTCTACAAAAACGTTTGCAGGAGCACCCTCCGAGGTTTTTTACAAAAGAAAAATAATTTTAATAGTTTTTTTCAAATTTTTTAGCTACTCACGTTCACATGTATTGACTGCTTTCAGTTTTATCTCACAGTTGCACTTGCAATGACGCAATTTTTTTAAAAGTAATTTCACGATTTGGCACCGATTTTTTTTTTTTTTTTTTTTTGATTTTACGGCACCAGATTGATTTGTTTTTGGTAATATTTGGTCCTTGCATGCGTCGAGTATTGTTTATTATTTTCCCATGTGAAAAAAGCTAACTATTAATTGAGTCCTGTTTTCCTCGACTTCATTTTTGCTAAGCAGTCCAAGCACCTCACTGCAGTAGGTGACATGCGCACTAAAATGGCACCCTAATTCACTAATTCACAACTAATTATTATTGTGCGTTACTGTTATTTGAAGTCATACTTTCACCAAAAGTTTGATTTGACTTTCGAATGGAGTGAGATTGACGATGAAACATTGCGGTTTAGTTTTCAAATTTCATCAAACTACTTACAATAATTTAAATATGGATATTTTTGGGACAAAATTTAGGTTTGGAGATCGAAAAGGACACTGCTCCAAAAGAATTATGTTATTTTATTTAGTTATTGACTTTTGGGATACAAACAGAATATAACTGCTGCACTGACTGATTGATTGTTCGCATAAAGTCTTTATGGCTTGTATCGTACAAAACTTGTCGAATCCGCCCGGCCTCAATTAATTTTTCTTCCATTTTCAAAAACTTCAAAACATGCATCGTGACTCTACGAGAAAAACTGCGGCAAATACGCTTCGTTCCGCAGAGATGAGGCAAAGTAACGACAAATGTCGAAAATAAATCGGGTAAAATACTAAGTACCTACCAAAAATTGCACACAACAATATATATAATCAGAGAAAAATTGCAACAGCTGACGACTTATGATAACAACAAGTAATTACCCACTAGGAGAATCATAATTTGAAGAAAAGAATACGACATTGAATAAGCAATTCGTATTGCAAAACGTAAATGCTTGAAAAGGAATCGATGATCCCTAAACCATTACTAATCGAAAGGCCAATTGACAAAAATGAACGACATTTCTGCCGTCAGCTGGCACACAAATCATAAAAGTCATGATTTAGGTGTAGGTAACTATAAAATAGAGAGCAACCCGGTGCTTTAGACTGAAGACACAATGACAAATACAAGGTACAAGTGACAAGAGACAAAAATATAATAACACGTGTATCAATCCTATAACCTAGAATAAGTGGATACAGCATACAATTTACTTGCCATGCCACGATACAAAATTTCGATTTTTTGGTATTTTGTTTCTGTCTCTTGTACCTTGTATTTGTCATTGTGTCTTCAGCATTATGGAACCGGATTCCGGAACTAAATCTGGTACTGAGTTCAGTGACCGAACAGAGTACGTGCAGCGTGCAGTACACACTTCGTGAACGGACCACTATTTGGAAAACCTAATTCAAGAATAAGGAATATTTGATTTGTTTACATGAAAATTTAATTGGAAAGTGGAAATAAAATATTGATTAAAATCGAGGAAAATCATTAGTCGTCAACAAGAACTAAAAGTGAAAATAACTATAGGAAGTTTGAATGGAAAACTAAAAATAAGTGTAGAATAGTTAAAGGCAATTTTGGCACGTTACAGGGCGTTCCAATCAATAGGAAGGATTACCAGCTTGTGTTTTTTTACAATTTGAGCTATTTTTTAATGTCATTACTACCGCTTGGATTTCGGTTTGGATAAAAGCCATGTTGCTCTCGAATGATTGTATCTTTGACCTCGCCAATTAGTGATGCCACCGAGATGAGAGATTCTCGTCACGTCTCACCTCGACGAGACGAGAGACTGATTTTTTTGTCGCGACAAGAGAAGGCTTTTTTCTTGTCAAGTATTTCTCGAGCTTTTGAATGCTTAAAATAGCTAAATGAAAAATCAAAACAACAGTCAATGGTATTTTGGTCCAAGTGCTATAAATTATAAGGGTCCTGCTTTCACACGAGTAAGCGTGTTCAAATGTTCTCAAAGGTTCTATATTTATGGAGTATGCAAATTTAAATGTTCTTATTGGCTCAAATTCTACCGCTTAGTTTCAAGGAAATCATGAGGACTGTGACCTTACATTCACGAGTCAGACAAAGCATGTCATTCGAACAACCTATTTACGTTAAATCCCTTATACACCCTCCTGGCATAAATATGAAAATCCAAGCCCAAATTCAGATTCTAAGGGTAATAAAATAATTCGCCCATCAAAAAACCAGATGCATCATTGTCACATATGAGGAAAAATACTCATTGTGGCGCATCGAGGAAATCATAGACAATCTGGGAAAATACACCTTAATTAAACTTCACCACCCTCGATCTTGGTCAAAGATTCCATCAGATTAAAATGGGCCCGAGCTCAATTGAAAAAACAGCTTTTACTGTATAAACATTCAACATTTTGAGTACCTACTTGCATAGGCCTTTATTTATTGCCCTTTGGACTCAAAAACGCTTCGTCTACCTTCCATAGAATGATGGTTGATAAAGTTTTAAGAGACTATCTATATGGGTTCTTTCACACATTTCTGTGATTGGATAAAGCAACCAAAAATAGAATATCATTCTCCCTTACTTTTCAAAAACTTGAAATCCTTGTTGAGAAAATAATTGAAAAAGAAAACTGTCTAATTAAAAACATGTAATTTATCCGGATTACGTCACAACTAGACTTTTGACAGCACCCATGACTCATTGTCTGCACTGAAAATTTGGAATCTGTAGGCAAAATACCAAGAAAAATAGTTAAATAATGTATGTTGTATGTTGTTGTATGTTGTATGTGTTGGAGGTATCAGTTGCACCGCGATTTGGTAGATCTATTGTACCTCCCTTCTGCTGCTAGGTCAGGGCATCCTGCTCAAAGCAGCCCCTCTAGTCCTAAATCCTTAAGGAATCTTAGGATATCCAGCGGTTCCAGAGTTGAAATATCTTCCAACTGTATGGTGGGGCTTCTCAGATTCAGTAGAAGGTGGTGAGGTGTTTCCTTTCCGTGTTCCCAGAATCTGCAGGTGCCATTTTCTTCCAGACCTAATTTGTGTAGGTGTTTTTTGAGTCTGCAGTGTCCCGATAGGAACCCGGTTAGCGTTTTGGGACTTTTCTTGC